CTGCGGCGTCGCGAAAAACGCATCGAAGAGAATCGACACGACAACCCGAAGCCGTCGGTTGGCCGTCGAGGAAACGACCGCTCGAGCCGCGCCGAGAGATACCGTGTTTACCCGGCCGCGAGGAGAGCTAGGAATTTTCGTCTCGGCCGAGAGGAGCTGGTTTCATCTCGCTGGAGAAGCTAAATGCAAAACTTAGACGACCCCGGGCGAGGCGAGGGAAGAACCGGATGGAAAAATTCCGCGACGAGTGCCGTCTAACACGATCGTCGAGCGGAGCACGCGGGAATGGATTCGTTCGGATCGATCTCGTCACGGAGCCTCGAACGAGAGCAGGCATATTGTCTCGGTCGAATGTTCCCGCTGGTTTTCCCACAGATTGCACCTGTTAAGCGTATTCGACCATTTCCGTTAAGATTCCGAGCGTAAATAGTTTTCCAATTTGCATATCGATGCCCGGCGAACTCTTGCTGCGATATCTCTTCTGTTCCGGATTTATACCGGGTGGACCGTCCACTTGTGTTTACGGGCGAGCTGAGAATTGACGCGAGTTCATTTTTAGATTTAAACGTTCGAGAGGTATTTACTTACTTGGACACCCTGTCTATTAAGTGCGCCAACTTACGGTGTCAACGGTATTGCACTACAGAATAATCTCGATCTTCCGTTTGCTCGGAAATGATACAAACACTATCGCTAGAAAAATAAATAACAAATCATCGAGTCCGATTAACAAGCTATCTCAAATATACAGAACTCTCTGAACAAGGTTTATTTACCCGTTGGCACACCTAACATCACCCCTGTATCTCCCCTGGTCGACGAGACCGTCAACCGTAGAAAATTCCAAGATCAACATCGAATAATCACCCGAACCGGAGACCCACGTACCCGAGAGGCGCGAGACGAATAATTCCCTCGAGATCCCCGTTTCAATAAAACTACCCGCGACTATATGTACAATGATCACACGAGAGACGATCTCTTATGTACTACATGGACGAGGCCCGCGGCCTGTCGCCGCGGGTCTCCTAAATATCACGCGTCCGTGTCCGCACGACCGTCGAAACGCGTCGGCGCCTGGCAAGAAGACTCCTGGTAGCTGATCCTCGTGCCCGTCGATCGCTGGCGAGCCGGCGGCGACGATCGACGACAACGGATCAGTCGTTGACGGCAGCCATCGTGTTCCGCCTAAAGGTCTCCGTCGTGTCCTCGTCGCCCGGCGATGAGAGAGGAAGCTGGGCCGCGCGCGAACACGGGCAAGAAAGGTCGAAAAAGGGGCTCAGCGATTTAGGGGATGAAGATGGCAACGCGGGAGGACCAGCGACGTTCGATGAGCTCCTACAGAGGCAAGCGGCCGGACAAAAGACAAAAAGATAGTTCTGGTTACAACGAAGAACCCATTTTACTGGTTGCACGGCGGCGAGGCATGACTTTGGGGATGGTTCCTAGCGGACGCGTGCGTAGCCTCTCGCTTGAGCCTCTGCTTCAGGTGAACCTTCGCGTGCCGCTTCTTCTCGTCGCTCCTCGCGAACTTGCGTCCACATTGGTCGCAGCAGAACGGTTTTTCTCCGGTGTGCGTCCTGACGTGGGTGGTCAGGTGGTCGCTCCTGGAGAAGGACCTCATGCAGATGCGGCACTGAAACGGCTTCTGGCCGGTGTGGATGCGTATGTGGCGGGTGAGCTCGTCGCTGCGCGAGAACCTGCGGTCGCACCCGTCCACCGGGCATGCGTACGGCCGTTCGTGCACGGGCGTCTTGCTCGGTCGGTTTGGGTACTTCCTTGGCTTCACTGGCACCAGCCTGAGCGGCAGAGCGCTCTGCTGGTAAACCTGCGTGAGGATTTCGTGGCCCTTGGACGTGCTGGGGTTGTACTCAGCGAGCTGCACGCCGGTCGTACCGGCCGACAACGGCGGCGGCGGTTGCTGCTGCTGGGGCTGTTGGGGTTGGTTGGCTTGGGGAGGCTGCTGTTGTTGTTGTTGCTGCTGCTGTTGCTGCTGCTGAGGAACCGCTGGGCCGTAACCGCTGGTCCCTGTTGGTTCTTGCTTCAGCGCGGTCTCCTGGTGATGATGATGGGGGTGGTGATGAGACAGCAGGCTAGGGTCGTAGGCTTCCTCGTGCGCGGTCAGCCAGCCGGCCGGCGTGGTGGTTGGCGTATCGTGGTAGCCGGGCGGTGGGGGTGGCTTCGACTCGACCTGGAGGAGTTCGACGGTCTCGCCGCCGTACGGCGCCGAGTGAAGACTCGGATGTAGGAATGGTTGACCCGTCAAGGTGAGGGTCGGCGAGGGTAACGGACCCCAGAGCTCCTGGCTGCTGGGCTGCTGTTGCGGCTGTTGCTGGGTCTGCTGCTGGGGACTTTGCAGAGTGTTCAGGGCAGAGGATTGCGTGCAGGTGGTGGTGAACACGCCGCGGTAGGTCAACGTCGGGACGTTGCAGATGTTGCCGCTGGTGGCTGGCACCGAGGACACCGAGGACGTCGAATGAGGGGACGAATAGAGGATCACTCCGCCTTGGAGAACGTTGCAACGATCGGTATCCTCTTGAGTCTGGTGATGACGGGGTGGACTGGTGGACGGTGGTGCGCCAGGTGTGCCCGTGTCCTGAGACTCTTGGTGATGGTGATGCCGGTGATCCCTGCCGGCAGAGGTAGCCGTCTCATCGTCCTCCGGGGTCGCCTCCTCCAGCGATAGGTCCTCGCCTGCCAGGCTGCCTGAAAATCACCCATCGGATCCACGATCAGTCTCGCAGGGCACAGGTGAACGAATACGATCGCTCGCGTAGCGATTCCTCGAACTGGGACGCGCGCCGGCTGAACGGATCGACAGGAAGGACCGCGCGATACGAGGGTAGCTTTATCTGCGTAGCCTACCGGCCGGCTACTATCTGTCTGCATCCTGTCGTCCCGTTACTTCCTTCCTAAAACCGTGCGCGCGCTCATCTCTCGTTCCCCATGCCTACCAACTACGAAGTCGCCGACCGCCTCCCAAAACCAGGAGGAGTGGACCGGCGTCATCCGGTTTGGTCGCGTCAAAAAATCAAACGGATTTTGGTCCCGGGCCTAAACCACGCATAGACGAACAGTTTGCTCCCGTCCATAGTTATCGTGTACAATCTCTTCGATGAAGCTTGAAACGCGAACGATTCAGATGCAGGAGAACAAAGAAGCTAAGGTAAGCTGAAAAATCGAAGACAGGATGCACCGAGGATGCAGCGAAAACCCGGCAAAGTTTCCCCGTCGATAAAAGTCCTCCGACGTGCGTCCGCCGGCGTGACGGAGGGTGGTTGTGCGTTGCTCCGGATGAACGGCGGTGGGAGAGGCACACGGGAGCATGAATGAACCGGCGAAAGGGGGGTCGGTGGGAGGCGGAGGCGGAGGCGGAGGCGGAGGCGGAGAGCGATGCAGGGACGCCGGAGGAGGGTTTCTGAATGTCGGGGTCGCCGAGTATTGATCCGGCGACGCGGGAGCCAGCCGGGTTCGATATTAGCCGTTTTCGCGAGCGGACAACCCCGCGCGGTGTACGCGGGCTGTGCACGTACGTACGTCACACGCGCGGCGGGCACCTCCGGGACGGCCGACCGGCCGGGCCGATGATTTCCCCGCGGCGAGTGAAATCGACAGCGGGAAAGCCGGGTTTTCGGAGGGGTGCTCGGCGCAGCCACGAGGGTAGCAGCAGCGGGCAAGAGTTGGCGGATATGCGGAAAGCGAAAGTCGGCAGGGCGGGCCGCGGGGACGCGGAGCGAGCGTTCGCGGTGAGCACGGTGCAAGTGCAAGGTCGGTCGGTGTTCGAAACGGTCGGTCCTATATTCCGCGTGGCGCGTTCTCTCTCCCTTCCCGCGCGTATTCGCTTCCCGGCGGGGACTCCCCGGCGGATGGGCGAACCGATCGCTCCGCCGAGCCGGCTCGGCGTCACGATTCTTCGTTGTAAACGTCCTCGGAGGACGGATTCGGCGGCGGACTTACAAGGTACTGGTTCTCAACGCGAAAAGTATAAGCTCGACAGAGGACTCTAGAAGGTAGCATTCGGGAGACACGTGTACAACAGATGTGTTCTCGCAGATATCAAGTTGACTCGGCGAACGTGTTTCTCCGTTCGTTTCGCTGTGTTCGTTTAAAGGACTGCAGATTTGTTAGGTACCTGAAATAGGAGGTGGCTCGACGAGCGCGGAGGGGCCGAAGAAGGACGGTAAATCGCTGCTGGTGGTAACCGGCGTGTTTAGGTCACCTGGCTTATCCTTGTCGGCAGACTCCTGCAGATCGTCCCTGCAATCTCTCGCGCATTCCTTCTCGTCGTTGACTGGCTGTAGCCGCCGTTTGCCGTCCGCGGTGTCGCTGGACGGCGACGGGGCGTCGATGTGCCGGTGTTGCTGGTGATCGTCTAGCCTCGGGTGATGGGGATGATGATGATGATGGTGATGGTGGCGGGCATGATGGTCCGCCGCGTCGGTGTTGTTCTGGTGTTGCGCGTGCAGCGGCACGCAGGTGGCTAGCGACAGACTTGGTATCGTCTTGGTGTTGTTGTTATTGTTGTTGTTGAGGTTGTTGTTGTTGTTATTGCAGCCGGTTGACGAGGCGCAAGTGGTCGGTGCCGGTGTCGAGCTGCCGCCGCCCCCGCCGCCGCCGACGCCGCACACGATCGAGTTCGACGAGGTGGCCGTGTTGTACGGCAGACACGCGTCGAAGCTTAGCTGGACCGTTTGGAGATTGAAGGTCGGATGGTGATGATGATGGTGATGATGACCGAGCGGCGGCGAGGAGAGCAAGAACGGGCTGGTGGCCGCGTGGGGCTGCGAGCCCACCACTTCCATGCCGTCCATCGTCATCCTCTGTAGCTGCTGATCGCCTCCCTGTCCGCCGGCGGAAACCTCCTCGGTACCGCACTGCGTGTCCTCGCCTGCGGTTGTATCGTTCAACGCTATTATTATGGTTAAAATGGTTGTCCTCCCCGTTCGGTCGTCTTTATACTCTTTTTGTTTTTCTCAAATTACGACAAAACCTTCTTTCCACACCACTCTCTCTTTCTCTCTCTCTAGCATACGCTGTGTTATCGTTCACTCTCTATCTACCCGGTTCTCGCGTTTCTACGTGTCCTCTCACCGTGAAAACCCCTAAGGAAGGCACGCGGCTGAGGTGTATGTTAGTCTTTCAAAGAGGTGCCTTTTTTTTAGTCGATCCTCCCTTTACAACCCTTCCTCTCGGTCTCTTCTCCGTGCAACGACACCGGTGTGTAGCGTGGTGCCGCTAATCGATAATCCCGCGCGATCACGGTATACACGAGCACACCGAGAAACAGTGGGAAAAAAGGAGTCCGCGGCGCGAGAATCGGTCGCGCGGA